ACAAGTTTAGCGGAACGTGTCGCGGCTAACGCAGCACTAAAGCGCGAGAAAGGGGGAAAAATATGTCCCTAAACTTAGGAAGTGTCAAGGAAATAGCCAAGGAAATAACAAACAAGAAACTAAAACCAGAAGCTCCTCTCGCAGAAAGAGTATACTGAACTTTAAAAAAATGTCATGTTGTTAAGGAAGAGTTTTATTTCAGGAGCAGGAGGATCCGCAGCAAATAAGCTGTAGAAATACAGTCAGCACCTGCTGATTAATGCCATAGTCCACACAAAGTGATTTGCCTACCTTCAGAATATCACTTTAAGAAACACCGACTTTCCAAATCTTAGGCACTCTGTCATGTTTGTTCCAGCGTAGTTACCTAAACGGTTTAAGCTGAACGTAATTTGTTTCCAGGCTTCCAGGACGCTGCTGCATGTACCACTCTGCTGGATTGGCATCTAATTGTTATTAATGGCAGACAAGAACAACAATATTTTTTATCTTCAATTTTCTTTTCAGCGTGTAGAGCGTCATTTTTCTTGCTTTATCGATCAACTAATAGTAAATTAAGAGAACCCACCTGTTCACGTGGGGGACCCGAAGGAACGTAGCATCGGTGGGGGGGAGTTTGAGTAACGCAGTCAGACCTGTAAGGATTTGCGTTTGCGTGCATCGCCACCATGTTTGACAGATGATGCGGTTTGCTTGGGATAATGAGCGCTTCGTCTCCTTCCTCGTGCTCTTCTTGTTCCCTCGCTCATGCACACATTCAGCTGGAACTATGTTCCTAAACGTTCCCAGTGGACTCCGACCTGAGCTCATCTACATGCATGAAAGCGTCTCTCGACTCTGTCGAGGACACGCCTACTTCCTGGAGAGTCTTCTTGACTTGAGGTTTTTTGGGATTTCGTTCATTTTGCTGACCGCGCTCGTTCATAAGCACCAAACTGTGGCCTCTCTTAAGGTTTCTGCAATCATTGCAATTACTCCGAGTAAAACGCGCACGTCGTACGCAAAAACAAACAAAATGTGATCCGGTGCAAACACCCGATTGGCTGCGATTCAGTGAGTGTGGCGCTGCATTGTAGTGTGGCACAACCTTTTTGCCGCATGCCTCTGCATATTGCTGCAGCCTCTCCTGTGCCAATGCAGGCATCTCATTGAAAACTAATGAGGACTCAGTGTTTTATTCTAACAGCCTAAAGGTGCCACCATATACTGGATTAAAGCACAAGTAACCCAAGGAGCATAATGAGGTTTCCTACAAAAGAAAAAAACAGGAGCAAAGATTTGTCCTTAAGCCGTGGATCTAATCTTTACACGACGACGCTTTCCCCATCGTGACAGCGGACACTTAAATTGCATTTGGTAAATTCTTAAAAACACAGATCGGGATACAAGTCCCGACAGTGGCTAAAATAAAAGACGGAGCCCAAGCTTTGATCCCTTTAATGACACGGACGGCGTTTGATGTACAAACACAGCACCTCCTTGTTTCCGAGCTTCCTGTCTCTGCCGGACTGTTGACGTGTCGACAGCTTGCACGGGCTGGTTAAAAGGAGGACAGAGGATCTGGTAGTACATTCAGCTGTCATACCAGGAGGTGCATCCTCTTTTTTTCTTTTTTTTAGGTAACCAACCCCATTCTCCTTTAAAATGGGTGCTTAGAAGTTGAAAATTGCCAACATCAAGAGCTTCCTTGAATTAGGATGCCCTGCAATGCAAGTGTGTTATATAATGCCATGACTGGAGGGAGAGGAAAAGTAGAGCACAGGGGTAGAGATTAAAAAACTTTCTGCATAAAAAGAGAGGAGGGAGGAAGAGATGAGCATAAAAGGGAAAGGGGGGAGGGGTGGGGGATCGAGGGAGAGACAGAGATAGAAATATAGCGTAATGAAAAAGAGAAGGGCGGATTAGGTCAGGCAGGAGTGAGGGTTCACTCCTACAGCGGGAGCAGCCTTTGGGCCTGGCAGGCTGCAGGAGGCTGGTCAATCCTTCGGCTCTCTCAAGGCTCCTCTCTTTTTTCATTTAGATAATGGAGCATTTCCTTAATTGGCAGAGCGCAGTTTAGGCCGGGGTTTGTTTGCCAACACGTCAGAGCAGAATTATTTCCACTACATTTACAGCATAGTGTTGCTCGGCTCTCTCATTAAAACCGCAGGCTCCTCCTGCCCCGATAGGTTTTTTTTTTTTGGTTTTTTTTTTGGAAATCTACAGAAGGAGGCCGAGTAGCAAGGAGGAAGAAAACACATTTATCTACCATCACACCATCCCTAGTCAGCTTGTCAAGAAAGAGACCGAAACTTCTCGATCTGTTTACCGTTATTGTTTTTCTCCAATCATAAAGACTTACTTCTGGTGCTTTTTTTGCCTCCTTTCTTATCGAGAGACTTATGCGTCGAGCTCGCATGATCTGTATCTTTAAATTTGATTGAGGGTATTTGCAGGGGGTGTTATTGGATTTCGGCGTTATTGTCTCACCTTTTCCCTCTGTGTTTTTTAATGTTGGGATGGATATCCGCTCCAGCAGCACTGATCTCACCGTTCTGCTCATTAGTCTGGATTCGCAGACCTCGGTGCTTCGTAACAATAAGACACGCACTTCTGTAGTCCAGCCATTACCGAGTTTAACAATGTGCACCAGCCAGAAAAGTCCATTATTTCTGCAGCTCATCATCTCAAGCATCCATACGAGACAAAGGGTCTGTGAAACTGCTTCATTGCAAAGAGCCATCTATCACTTAAGTCAGGAGCAGAGACTACAAAATACACGTGGAACACAGCGCAAACCGAGCAGGAAGCATATGGATGGATCAGAGTTATACAAAGGGCGCGTGCTGCTAGTGACAGGGCTCTGCAACTTTATATATATATGAGTATATCTCCATCGGACTCAGCCGGCTCACCCTTACCTTTGTAAGACTTCACAAACACAGACGTAATCGATTCTCGGTCCAGTTCCTCAGAAATTCTCTTCTTAGTTTGTGGTCAGTCGAGAAAACGTAGGCCTACATTTCAGTGTTGCTGCAATTGTTTTATGATCATAGAGTACAACTGTGCAACTGTCTAAAAACTCAAAGTGATAACCTTTATTTGTGGATTTCAGTGCACGAGATTATTCGGTGCAATTTCCTTTTTTTTGTCTTTTAAAGATGAAGCATCGACATCCAGGTCTCGACTGTCTTAAAGCACCAGCGTGTTCATTGGTGTTGAGTAGATGTAGAACATCCATAACATAAGGTTGTTTCTGGGTCTGAAAAATGCCAGAAACCTGCGTTCTTCCCGTTTTATTGATATGCAGCAATAAATCAAGTCTGTTTTGAGGTTGGCCAACTGGGTGATTCACAAGTAGCTACTGTACCAGAGCGCAGAGTTCGTGGTTTCTCAGTCAGATCCACTCATAGCTTGTGATGTCCAGTTTCAAAAAACCAAGACCAACAGAAGAAACGCTCAGGAAACAGTAGGCAACACCTTCGATTACGTTCAGTGACTAAGACTGTAAGTACCCTGTATTAAAAACTGAATTTCAAGGTATTTTATTTAAAATTACATATTTGTGTCGCCATCCTTAAAGGCAGGTGCACCAGAGGGTAACAAGTCAGATTTCTACAGGAGAGAAACAAAGAACTATCCTGTCAGCAGTTTGTTAGTAAATTTAAGTGTCGCCTGAGGGGAAGGAGGCACAGTTATACTGTTAGTGATTTTAAGTACTGTGTAATGTGTCTGCAATTTTGCAGAAAAACAAACAATACTATAACAGTACTATCTTACATGTAAAGTATACTGTACTCTTCAGACGCTGTTTTTCAAAGTTATGTTCGAACAGTGACTGTGAAAGAAAAGAAACTTAACGTCATAATTATGAGGTCACATACTGTAGGCCTGCAAGTATTTATAGTATTTATTTTTGTATTGTAAGCTGGTTAAGGAGAACGGTCACATTTATATTAGTCAAATAAAGCTTTGGTCGTGCACATTATCATGAAGAAAATTAAATAAAGATATAAAAATCTGCCCTAAAGAGTAAAGCCAACGTACGTAAAATTACATAAAATTACTTACAACATATTTATTTCTTCTTTTACTGTAAAATTCTGACTCTGTGTCTCATTTTAGCATCAATATCTTTCAGTATTGGTATAGGTAATAATTTTATTGCATTTTCAAATAAAATACTCTGAAATTCTATTTAATTACAGGGAATTACACCCTGTGGGCTGTGATACAAGTATTACCAAACAGTAAAACAGTCGGCGCCACAGGTAACTACATCCATCTTTTATCTACAGTTTATGAAAAACACTACTGACAGAGACATGTCTGTACTGACTAAAAGTACAAAAAGGTGCAAACAAATGCTTGTTCACATTGTTTTTCGTAATTTAAAGAAGATTTTTGCAGATTTATTCCGTTTATTTAGCCAGAGGCCGTGCAAGCCTCGAACATAAAACTGGCTGAATCTGAAATTTCAAGGCGGCAGAAACAGAATTAGAGAAAAGTAATCTTTCTAAAACTCTTTAAAAAAGTCCACACGATAACCGGAGACGGAAACAAAGACGGGGGTGGCGAAGAGCAGGAGAGCTCGTAAAGCAAAAAGTATGAAAGTGGAGCTTGGAGAGGGAGCAGCTGCTGGTTTAACAGACCTGTCATTGAAATCAAAGGCCCTAATCAAAATTTTATCAATTAATTGATCTTTCCTCCTGTGCTTTGCCACAAGTGCAATTGAGATTCCCCATGACTCTTGCCCCTGCAACAGCAAGCCATGCTCTACAACATAAACTGTGTTCATTAGAGAAGATCAAGGATTTCTCTAATATGAGCTGAGATGTGATATGATGGCTGTTTCCCCCCGACTTAGTTGGTGTGCAGGACATCTCTCCCTGGTTGCCTTCCACATCACACCAGGGATCTTTGCGCTTCTTTCATGCTGGTTTTACAAGTCAAACAACCTACTTTAAGTTTAATTTTAACCGTAGTTCTAACACCCGCCTCCTGCTGTGCGTTTTCCACAGGGTAACCAAGAGGCCACCAACCCCCCAGAAGCGATGGCCCAGCCGTACACCCCAGCCCAGTACCCGCCTCCCCCACAGAATGGCATTCCCGCAGAGTTTGCGGCACCTCACCCGCTCCCGACGCAGGACTACACCGGGCAGAGCCGGGTGCCCGAGCACGCCATGACCCTCTACACGCCCACACAGACGCACAGCGAGCCGGCCGGCACTGACAACAGCACGCCCGCCACCACGACCGCACCGGTCAGTGTCCTTCACCACCTGCAAACACTGTTCTCAACACGCTGTCAGCAAGTAAAATATCTTCATATTATCTTTTTTTATCCGTATTATTATAACGTTACAAATGTCCGACTGTTCTTCCCGTGACTGGTTTCTTCCGTCTGCTTACCAGTGTGAGCTTAGCCAAATGCTGTGATTTCTCTCGACTCATTTCCTCTCCCTTGTTTCACTGAGAAGTGAGCCTGTTGTTTAATATTCAGTCAATATTTACATGATCTGTCCTTGCCTATAACTCTCCAGTTCTGCCCTCTTTGTATATTGACAGAAAAGTCTGTGTGCATGCAGGAAACTTTTTCAACAGATCCCAAATCACAGTATGTAAAGTCTTCAAACTTTTCGGCTCCAGTATAAAAACATTTTGGAAGTAAATGTGGCCTTGACGAGCACGATTCAAATAACTGGAACCAAATAACATGTAACGTATGAAAAACTGGTGCAGTTTGGAGCATAAACTCTCATTCAGAAGCACGACCCCTTAAATCGCTGCAAATTAAACCCCATGTTTGACAGAAGAATAGTACAGCGGCAGTAAATCAGAAGTCAAACCTAAGAAATGGTCAAAACAAGATTGTAAAAATTGTTCAAAGCTTAAAAAACATCAGCCCAAACATCTCACAAATAATTAGGTCACTGGCAAGAAGTCAGCAGCACGACTGGATACATAAAAAGTATCCTAGAGAGGCTCAGTCTTTAGAAGGGAAGAAGGGGAAGATGATAATGTATCTCAGGAAAACGCTGCAAAGAATTTGGCAATTTCGTTCTGTTATGTACCATAGATGATGAAAAGATTAAGAGCATCAAGAGAGATCTCTGTACGCAAGGGACGAGGCTGAAAACAATTTCATTTTCAATATTGTAATCTGCAATCTGCATTATAAACACATCTGATTCTGAGGTGCAAATCACTGCATGGGCTCAGGGGCACTCTGTGAATACAGCGCGGTGCTGCGGCCATAAATCCAAAAGTCTACCATGCAGGGGAAACACGGTGGTACTGTAACAGCAGCAGAAGAACATATTAACATCATATATCACACACACATGTTATGTGCATTTCTGGATTTGTTGATAAAAAGATCTCCCTTCCTCAACCGATCAAATAACTTCTACACTGGCTTCTTCTCTTTATTATAACGTGTGCTAAAGTGGTTCTTAGTGCAGGATTTGCATTGCTTTCATTACTGTCAGTGATTGTGATTGAATATTTCCTAAAGTTAGGAGTATAAAGTGTACAAAGGAAGCTGCTATTGTGCAAACAAATGGGTTTTATTCTGCTGAAGCACACGTAACACTGAGTGGGTGTGTTAACAGTAAATTTGTGGTTTGTACTAAGAAAATGATTTCATCTGTTGTATGAGCAGCTGATGAGCTCAGAAATGAAGCTAACTCACAACCCTAAAAGCTGCAGTTCTCCAAATGACCACTTGAGGCTGGCTCATGAAATATATGCATAATAAAAGATGGAGCTAAGCTTACCATTAGGGATGGGTATCATTTAGGTTTCATCCGAGACCGGTGCCAAACCGGTACTTTTGAAACGGTGCCGGTGCTTAAAGAATGGAGAACACAAAATTGGTCCAAAAACCTCTCATGTTCAGCTGGTTTTTGTAAAAAGATAACAATGTTAGCCTTTTCTGCAGCTATGGGGCATATATGGTATCACTCTTGGCTGGAAGCAGTGCTTAAACAATGGAAAAAACACAAACTTTGTCCAAAAACCTCTCATGTTTAGCTGTTTTCCACTTTTTCTTTGGTCATTTTAGCCTTTTTGGCCAGGGTGAAGGGAGTATCTGCCATCAAACAAGAAGACAGCTGCATGTACTATGATGGTGTTTGCTAGTTCACCTTACATGCATTAATGTAATAACGTGGTTAGCCTACTCAACGTAAATTACACACGAACAACATAAGCTACTCACGCAGAGAAGAACGGCGCTGCTGTATATCCGTCATCATTTGCTACACTGGCAGGGCTAGGGGCCAGGACTCTCCTCTTCGGGTTTTGGGGGATGTTGCTAACTCCGGGTCCGATAACAGGCAACCACACCCGCAGTAGATGTGCCGGTGTGAGGTCTCGCAGCAAGCTATCAAATACGGCGCATTTCTCGGCTTTTAAAAAAAACGCTATGCGTCGCCAGGTGTTTCATCGATTCGAGGTGTTACCTCCTTTGACAGTATCACAGTATCAGCTTAAAGCACTTGTTCGCTGCTGAGTTTGCATTTTTGCTGTGAAGTACAGCCAGACTTTTGACCGCTTCGCCTTGGACATTTTTAATCTGTAGCTCTGCTCTAACAGAACGTACGTACCTGGACCCAGCCTACTACTCCTCGGAAAACGTAAAATGATTGGCTAGAATCTAAAGTGTATCAGAGCTGAGGAAAAAAAAGCACCAAAATGTGCGCTGCTTTTCGGTCTGGTTACTACCGTTCATGTCAGGATACCGGTACCCATCCCTACTTACCATAATTAGAAAACAAAACTAATTTGACCAAAATGAGTTCCTGAATCTATAAAATCTGCAGGACAGTGTTCACAGAGGTCACGAGAGAAAGCAGCTTCCAGTAGATGTTAGTAGGTCTACATACGCTTCAGTGTTAAAATACCCAACTTTAGACTTATGGATATTTTCTCCTTTTCATCAGCACGTTATGGCTTGCTTTTTAGGTCTGTCTAAGACGTCTTCAGTCCAGTTTTAGTGTGAGGACTTATAGTATTAGTCTGTTATTTGGACTTATGAGCAACTGCGTTTTTGGTTGACTAATACTGTTTTGGAAAGCAGGCTGGTGACTAAAGTCGCTTGCTTTCTCATATAACTACATGAATTTGTCCAGTTATCATAATATCCTGTTCAAAAAAAGTATGTATAGCAAAAAAAGCCAGCCCAGAATGAACCACATGTGAGATTATCACTGCTACACCCATGTTTTGTATACTGTCTATGAGCTGAATGCACCAGAATCCTGTAATTACCAGTTCTGGCCACAGAGGTCACTGTTTCTACTGTTCAGAAAAAGCTGCATATTCTTACTTTAACATGCAAATCTGGCCTATTTTTGTTATTGTAACATATTTGCATTTTTCAAAAGCCTTAATTAACTTTCTCTCTCTCTTATGTTTACATAAGTAGTAAGTGAAATTTTTGGCCCCAACCCTTGTTGCCCATTTTTTTTAGGTCATTTTTCTTCCCCCCTCTTTTTTCAGACACTAATTTGAATGTTTCCTGCATCACAGACACAAAAACAGCCCGTGTTATTAAAAGGTGAGGGTTAACAGTGAGAGTCGCACGGCTGCACATTCATGTGCAGCAGCAGCAGCAGCAGGCTTTGATGTTCAGGCCAAGCTCGGCGCCTGACGATGGAGGCGAATTTGACTGAGAATGCGCTGCTAAAATGAAAGCGCATATCTGAAGAACCATTAGGGGGCTCCCAGAAAAACATGTCAACCTGAGCTGTTTTATTTATTTGCGTGAAGGAGATTTGACATGCTTTCGACATGAATGATTCAGGCTCTCTGAAAGGAGGACACGCCCTCCCCCACTTGTCTTCTTCTCCCTCCGTTAAAGGAGCAAAAGAAAGAGATGCACTTTTCTCCAGCAGCCAAAACCAACAGCTGCTTAGTGAAATCAGCTAATTATCTGTAACTACACCCGGGCGTTTGAGATTTTTCTTTCGAACATAAGACACCGTCGTCTGTGCCAGGACATGATAATGCTCCTGTTTTCACTCCATCATGAGAGTGCATGCCTCTAAAGCGTTGGCACTCGAAGGAGAAAACAAACCTCTGGCAACGGATTGTGAGAGAAATTCTAAATTATATAGCATACACTTCGTTCTTGTGCGCTTACATAAAATGCCTTGACCTGAGATTTACCTTCACAAGGGGTAGATGCAGATAAAAAGGAGAACGCTTAGCTTCGAACTTAAGAGGCGCGTCTAGAAAGACGGATAGTGCCGGCAGAGATGAAAAAAGCGGGACCTGCGTACCTCTTTTTCTCCTTTAGTATGAAAACACCTGCTGCTAGAGGTCAGCGTGAGGCCACAGCCCTGCTGAGAGGCATCGGGGTCGCTCGTGAAGAGCACCTTTAATAACTCGATTTTTCCCAGCCTCACAATTACGGCGCAGCCATGAATATTTGGGGGCAGAAAAGTGCTTATACAGCATAAGCAGGGCGATAGCACTGCACGGCGTATCATCATCGGCCTGTAATGTGGCAATGTTTGATTTGAAGATTTGTGCGACGCACTCGGACCGCTCTGTGGTTATGCGCTGCACTTACAGTAATGGCTGGGACACGAGAATTTAAAGTGAGGAGAGACTTGGCAGGAGGTTTAGTCTCCTCCTCCTCCTCCTTCCCACCACTCCCCTCCGCTCTCTATCGCTCGCCGTCTCCACTCTCTCTCCATTTCGCATTTGATTTCATTTCATCTGTTCACCCGCTGTGAAGAGAGCCCAGTGATGGTGGCCATGGAGAGATGAGAGCTCGCCTCATCTTCCTTCATGTTCTCCCCTTCTCGCGCGATCTTCATTCTCTCCTCACTTCCACCCGTCTTTTCTCCGAGAGGACGGAGGGACGAGATTAGTGGGGTGTAAACAGAGAGTCTAATCCCCGGGGCTGGTGGGGTAGTGTCGCCCACCGCTGCGTTCCCCAGCTTTAATGACAGACCCAGCCTGTTTGCTGTGGGTGTCACAGACGGGCCCGGGCGCCTTTGATTAGGGCACCCTGCAGAAACACAGATTGAGGGAGCAGATCAGCTACTCGCTGCGAATCTCCCCCTAAGTTCCTCCTCCCTTGACTCGACTCTGCTGCGCTCAGCTCCTCTACCCCACGACGATGCTTTACTCTGCACATCTTCTCGACTTAAAGACTTAAAAAGAGTCAAGAGAGAGAAAATTCAGTGAAACGTATGGATTCTGTGCGAATTCCCTGCAGAGAACGGAGAGTGTGTATGTTTTAATGAGGCAGGGGGACTGTCTCCGCTTCTTTCTCTCTGCTTCTGTGTCTCCAGTCCAC